TCCCACATGCCGCGGAGCGGCTGGGCCCGTGACCCATGGCCGCTGAGCCTGCGCGTCCGGAGCCTGTGCTCCGCAGCGGGAGAGGCCACAGCAGTGAGAAGCCCGCGTAAAGAAAAAAAAAAAAAACAAAAAAAAACAACTAGAGAATTAAGATAGCGTTCCATACAAGTTGTAACCATCCCATGCATTAACATGCTATTTGTATCATGTAGGCAGCCAACTCAGAAATTCAAGTTATATTACAAATGGTGACTTATTTTTACTGAATTACTTATATTTTAAAGTAGGTTTGTAAGAAGTGTTTTTGGCCTGAATTGTTTTGATACTCTAATGTCAATTTTTCTTTGTTTATCTGCCCTTATTCTACCTCTCCTCAATTCTTCATTCCCAGCAGCCCATTTTTTAGCATTGATCACATTAAGTGGATATGCTACTATCCAATTTGCTTTGTTCTTTGTAGACAAAATGTAAATGATGCTTCTTTAAGGTCACAGTTAACTCATGTCACTAAAGGTAAAAACTAATTCTTTTAGTCCCATTCCATTTTCTTTTCAGGGTAAACCCAAATCATGCTCTAGGCAATTTTAAAAGATCAACTTAGAGTAGACTGAGGTTGAGTGTCCTCACACAGCTAAGTCCAAAAAATAGTCCTCTATCAGCTACTGAAGGTCAGCTTAGGCTGCCTGGAGGCTAGAGAGCCCAGCATGGAACAATGGCAGGAAAATAGAGTTCCCTTCATTCCTTAATTCACATGCAAGTGAGGTGCCAGTCAAGTGCTGACAAGCATGGAGAAACCAAAATCAAAAGTGGGTAGAGATACACTTTCAAAAGGTGCAGTTTTCACACATTTCTAAGAGATGTTTTTAATGGTGGCTGAGAACATACCACTAATAACATGGAAAAGAAAATAAAAGTAATATGAAAAATACTAATTTTATATCAGCTGAGATGATTCAATAAGCTAATGAAATATATTTGCTAAAATTGTCTAATGTGTTCTAAAAGAAATATCAACAATCTCACTTTGACTAAGGAAAGAAATATGAATGCAAATTGATGTACAGAGCACTGCAAACAGGGAAGGTAAGGTGAGTTAAGATTGGAAACTGGGCATTGACAAGGAAGCTAACTCATTTGCAAATAAAAGAAAATTTTAAGCTTGCTTGATTTTGTCAAACTAACCATCATCTACAATGACAAGAGCAAAGCACTCTGAAATGACCAAGTATGGAAGCAATGGAATCACTCCATAAAATGGCTGGTGAAAGAGACTATGAAAAAGCTTAAAAACTGCATTGTTTTTTGACAGCTAATTTCTAAGAAATGAGTTTAAATTTTTAACCACTAATATAAGGCAAAAGCAAGCTGCATTAGTTGTAGATGTTTTTCTAAATGAATTTGGTAAATGACTTGATTATGACTACTAATTCTATCTACCACATATAAAATAGAATTTCTTAGAAATTTAAAGCTTCGAAAATGATGTTTTAATAATGGTAGCATTATATATTGGCATTATTTTTAAATACACAGAAGAGATAGCATAGAGTAGGTATGTTACTTTTAAAATTCATTATCAATTCATAAAATAAATAGTTCTTCCCTTTTGCTTTAATGACTGAATGCTAGGATTGTTACCAGAGCTGTCTTAACAACATCTATTTTTACTAGGATTACAGACAGTTTAGAGAATTAGAAACTTGAGTTGTTACCATATAATGGGAATGAAAGCAGTGAAAAGCATATTTTTAGTATGACTTTTCTCATTAGTATAGTCAACTGTATACTGTTTTATGAGGTTAGGCCTGATCAAATTCCAATATTTACTATCATAACTGAACACTGGTTTTGAAAATAAATCTCTTAACTACCTCTTGTATTCTTCAGGCAAATTTTAGCACTTCAAAATAGGATATAATAATAAATTATGTTCTCAGTTTTCAAAAACAACAATTAGCAAAATACAAAAGCTCTACAACTATTTTGTGCTCTAAATTTAAAAGTAATTTTTCAGATTTCTATTAGTAGTACCTTAATTTTAAACTCCAATTATATGTAATTTTAACTTAATAAATGGCAAGATACATTTTAGCATGGGTCCTGACTGTTTTTAAACAATAAGCACTACAAGTAATTACACGTAATACTGAAACTGTACTAGTCATACAGTTCACATCTAAAATAAATTTTCTTAAAATTCATGACCTAAAAAAGAATGTGAACTTGAATGAGGATGGTAGAAGAACAATCTCCATGCATTCAAACATAATGCTACAAACTAGCGCTGTTCCATCTATAAGGGGTGTGTGTGTGTGTGTGTGTGTGTTTGTGTGTGTAGAGTCTTGAATCAGGAGTAAAATTTTATGATAATTTTTAAAAAGTTAAACTTTACTGAAATCCAAAAGATTTCATGTCTGATGTGCGTAATGTACTATTGAGATAAAAAACTAAACCGTAATTTAAGATGTCCACAACTCACTTCCTTGTAAAGTTAATATTAAATATTTTAATCCATGTAAAACAATTTCATATAATACACATATGTTGAGAAATCCTGAGAGAATATTTGTCAACATTTTAAACACCATGAGTTTTCCTCTAAGAATAATGGGGAGAATAGGAAAGAATATTATTCAGTTTTAGGCAAAAACAAAAGGTTTAAACATATTTCAATTTTTTTTGTTGTTTATCAATGCTATCTTTCAAAAATCCTTGAAACTAAGTAGAAACACAATGGTCTTAAATATATTAATCAAGCATTGTCAAAAATTTATGTAAAACTTAGTGTACAATGTTATTTATTTAGAGAAATTTTTTTCAATAGGTCATAAACTACTTTTTCTTTAGCTTCCACCATCTATACACCTTCTTTACATACCCCTATCAAAGTTACTTGACAAAAAGTAGCAAATATATGAAGTTGAGATAATCGCCATTAATATTTTAAAACCTAAACAAGGTATATTACGTTAAATAGACTTCTCAGTCCTGGTGTTGCCTGTCAGATATGTGATGTGCCAGTGGTTATATTATATTCCTCCTCCCATGCATGCACCTCCTGCAGAGATAGCAGACTACAGAAGCTGACCCTTACTGAGACCATCTTGTCTCTCTGACAAAGCTCCTTTTTAACTTCTTACTTACTGGTTACTTCCTGTGATGGAGAAAAACTTTAGCTCAGCTTGTGATAATTTCACAGGCCCTGAGGACCCTGACCCTAATAGCCTCAAGGTCAGAAGTCAAGTCTTGTTCTGAAACATCTGTGTGCTTTATATTAAAGTGGAACAAAAGTGCAGAAATATCCACCAGTGTGTGACAAGAAGGACACGCAAAATAAGACTGACACACTGGTCATCTGTTACTCTGGCATCTTAAATTCATTTCTAAAACTGTCCAAAATTCACTTAAATTCCAAATTTGATGTACAAAAGGTTTTCGTTAACTGTCTTAAGGTAAAAATATGGAAATTTATGTTTTACAGAAATCTGAAATTTGAAGTCTTACAGGCCTTCAGACATATTTTAAGTTATTCCGTAAGTCATGAAATTTCATGTTTTATGTAATTTAATGGCTTACAGAAGGAAAACATAAGGTACATATATATCAGCTATATACGTGTGTGTCTGTATATATCTATATGGTTAAAAGAACTATTTGAAAAGCAACATTCACATTTTAAAAAGGACGTCATACTTGTATGTTAGAGAGCTATCTTAAGATACCCATTATGTATTAAAATAAATAAATTCAGCAGTTAAAAGTACTTGAATATAATTTCAAAAACAGTGAAATCAATTTAAGAAATAAATGACTTATTTACTGATCTTAAGAGAGCACAGTATTTGTAAATTTAGGTCAGCTAAAGTGTTCTCCGGTGTCACCGCTAGTTTTATACCTAAATCATGTGGGTAAGCAATACGGTATGGGAAAGTTGAAAAGACCATGGAAATATATTTAATTTCCATGATGAAGAGAAATACACAGCAAAGTTTAGAAACATAAAAATTAGACAACCAATGCTGTGCCGGCTTTTAATGTCCACTTTAGGCCATTTGGATTTAAAATTATCAAATGCACTTTTATCAAATTAACCATTTTATTAGAGCACTGGTACCTTCCTGTGACATAAGGGGTAATGGACATGGAGCACATTTTTAGGACTGATTATATATCATTAATCATTCATACCTGCACAAAGTGTGCTAACTGCAATACTGCATATAATACTGACCAAATTTAGAAATCTTGATAATTTTTCCACTATGTACACATAATCTTCACCCTAGGAATCAGATTATTTTGAAATGCAAAGATTTTTAAGACCAAGCATTGAGTTCCACTTAGATTAATGGGAGCTTTCTAAAAGTTTTAATACTAATTATATGGATTCTGATCAAGTACTAACTTGAAGAGATAGCAGTTTTGTCAGTTAAAGGGTCTACTGAAATTTTAAACACTTTACAGATAATAATGCTTCAGTGATGTACCCATTAAAACAAGAATCACAAATATAAAATGTATGGAAAGTGGGGCTATAATGTAGAAGTTAAAAAGTAATATGTATAGTGGGAAGCAGCCACAAAGCACAGGGAGATCAGCTCGGTGCTTTTTGACCACCTAGAGGGGTGGGATAGGGAGGGTGGGAGGGAGATGCAAGAGGGAGGAGATATGGGGATATATGTATATATATATAGCTGATTCACTTTGTTATACAGCAGAAACTAACACACCATTGTAAAGCAATTATACTCCAATAAAGATGTTAAAAAAAAAAGTAATACGTAAATAAGGAACAGGCAAAAAGCTTTCTGGTTAGCACTGAAAAGTTCTACCACAATAAAGAAATATACTCTTTTTAAACATCATAAAATTATTTACTCAAAATACATAATTTTCATCCTTTATAAAATAATTTAAAGTAATGACACCAAGAAAAAGGGAGTGGAGGGGATAAATCTGTAAGGAGTTTGGAAATTAGCAAGAGTTAAATATGCACTTACCAGTTCAACAAAAGCAAGTCCTCCATAGCTATGAGCAACAAAAAATACATTCTCAGCTGCAGATTGGGCTATGAAATGGTCCCACACATAGACTGCATGTTCTTCAGGAGAACCATTTTCCTATAAGTAAAACAAATATAATATATATCATACTGTATCTAATTATTATCATAGTAATCAAAAATTAAATTATATGCTTGCTTACATAGCATAAGAAATAAGATGGTTATAGCTCATTCCAAATAATAACAATACAAAAAAACTACATTGAAGATCCAAATTAGGGAATAAATTAGTATTAAACCATTAGTAAATTACTGCTAAACTTAAGTGCTACTATAATATTCTGAAAGAAAGTATTTTAAGTAAGTACATTTTTGAGGGGAAATTGCTCATTCTGGGCATATCTGAGATATTAAAATATATCTAAGTACATTAGAATTGCATAGCAGAAAGTTATAGTGGTCTTATGATAAAACAGTGTAACACTAAGAAAAATCAGATACATTTCTATATGTATACCTGAAAATACTTATAGTATACATACAGCTAAATTATTTGATTTATAAAGTTGTAAGTACCTCTGTAAACTGAAAATAAGCAGAAAATTAACAACAAATACTTTCAATTTATATTATTTTAAAAATACACCTTTTTCCTAAAAGAATTTTCCATACATATTTTATTTCTAGAACTGTAAGAAATCTAAACATATAAACCTGGGACCTTTTATACTTCTCCTAATTTGCTAATCCCTAATAAATGTATGAATGTTGCTTTAGTTCCAAAAGTTCTATAATAACTTCATTTTATTGTGTTTATTGCTATAGTAGGCACATTTTGTGATTAAAACTCAGATAATGTGAAAAAGGAAGAAAAAGAAAAAACAAACAACCAAAGAGCTAAAAAAACCCAAACTGATAAAAACTAAAACAGATCGTGAAAACGTTTTGTGTGAATATTTCTTGGAAGCTTTAACACCAAAAGACTAATTCCCTAAGAATGTCATGGTACTAGACAATGAACACAATTTATTCACATTTTCCATTTCAGAAATTTTTAAATATCATATTAGGGTCCATATGAATGGCTTCACTTACCACCTAAAAGCTGTTGTTCCCTAATGACTATCTCCACCCTGAATTTCTCTCCAGAGCTCCAGACCCAAGGTCATTTCCTTTTGAATGCCCCACAGATACTTCAAACGCAACCAATTCAACACCTTGCTAATAATTTCCTCTCCAAACCTGTGTCACTGTCTTTGCTCCCCACCTCCTGCTGAAATCTGAGCAACATCTTTTATTTCCCTCTCCCTCAAACTCCACATAAAATCAATCATTAAAAACCTGTTGATTCTGTCCCCAACTGTCTCTTAAAGCCATCTACTTCTCTCCCTTCTCATTTCCTCTGGCTTAGCTCAAGCCCATCCTTTCACAAGTGGATGACTGCAACAGTCTACAGTCCAAGTTTCCCTGCCTCTAGGATTGCCCATTTAAATACTCTCTCTAATTCTGTAGTAAGAATAACCTTTCAAAAATGCAAATATGGTCATGTCGCCATGTTGCTCACTCACTGCTTAGAACTCTTTGAAGTGTTTTTATTGCCCTCAGGACCAAGTTCAAACTCAGAATGACACTAAGGCCTTACATGATCTGGCTTCTGCCTCGAAATGTATGTGCAAAATACGATGACCCAAAAGATATACTTCTCCAACCATGAGAGACCACACAGAACACTCTCTGTGTTCCAACTGCAGGGAACAACTTATAGTAACCTAACTGTGCCATACTTTTCTTATTTCTGGGCTGTTTTTTGTTATTGTTGTTTGGAAAGTGGCCCAAGTGTTCTGCCTTTAATTCACCCACCACCTTTACCTGCATAATTCCTACTTGTCTTCAGAACTCAAATAAAACATCACCTTCTAGTGAAAGTTTTCCCTCTCATCCCCAAGGCTAGGTAATGTCCTACAGCCACATCTTGTACATGTTCCCATTATTGCACTGAATAGTTTGTATTGTAATTGCTTGTTAATCAAATTCCTGAGGCCAAGAGCTGTGTCTTCTTCATTAAATCACAGGGTAATAAATAAATAACAAAAACACAACATGTATCTTCAGAAATGATTACTTACAACCTTGTAGTCATATACTAAAATACAAATATACTTTCAAAGATATCTATTAGTAACATAAATACGAAATTACCCACACCTAAAGTATGTAAAATAAATAGAAGAATCATAATTGGAAGGAAATCTTTGTAGGCATTTTTGGCTTTAGTAATTTAGCTTTCATTGGTATAAAAAGTAGGAAAATAGTTTATCATCAAAAGCAGGATAGTGGTTAACTCTAAGGAAGAGAGATAGAGTTGTGATTGGGAAATAGACTTCTAGCGGCTGGCAATGTTTCATTTCTTGACTGGGGTAGCAGTTACACAAGTGTGTTCTTTTTTTGTTTGTTTGTTTTGCGGTACACGGGCCTCTCACCGCTGTGGCCTCTTCCGTTGCGGAGCACAGGCTCCGGATGCGCAGGCTCAGCGGCCATGGCTCACAGGCCCAGCCACTCCGTGGCATGTGGGATCTTCCCAGACCGGGGCATGAACCCGTGTCCCCTGCATCGGCAGGCGGACTCTCAACCACTGCGCCACCAGGGAAGCCCCACAAGTGTGTTCTTTATAGCTATAGTTAAACTGACTAATACATACTTAGTACTTTTCTGTACATATATATAAAGGGACCATAGAATTTATTCTACAAACCTTTGAGAGTGAAGAAAGGTAATGTTAGTAATTGTGCTCAGAGAACAGGTCTAAACTGGGACTGTCTAGAGAAAACCCAGATACCTGGTCTCCCTAGTTATATCTCACAATGAAATGTAAAAACAAAACAGGAATAGAGATAACAGAGCTTCTATCTGCTGACAGTTGGCAGAACTAACAATGTGAAATATCTGTGATGGTCCTAAATATTCTTCTATATATGGACAGAATAAAAACACATAGGAGATTAGATTACTCTGTCCCCCTAGGCTCTGCGCTGGAAGTGGAAATGTAAGGATGATAAGAGCTAAGCCATGATCCTGGCCTTCAATGTGTTTGCAATTTCATAAGGGTGTTAACACATAAGGAGAGGAGAGGCATTAGTGTGTGAGGAGTATTAGTTTCTCTATTCCTGATGGACTGTCCTGACACCAAGTCCAATGGGTCTGTTATAAATTCACACTACCTGACCTCAGCGAAGTCCTGCCTGCTTTCTTCTCACAGTCACTAATTCTTCCTTTATACTGTTGAGAGCCTATCTGTCCCATCCCTCTCATTCCCACCTCATTTTGAGTCCTCCTACAATGGATTCTTAACTAGTCTCATTTCTTTTAGTCTCTCCCTTTACTTTGTTGCCACCTTAATCTTGCTGAAGCCTGGCTCTGATCAACTAACTCTCCTGCCTGAAAGATCATTTACTGAAATGGTTGCCACTGCCTACAAAATAAATAACTGGAACTCTTTAGCCAACATCTCTAAACCCATCTTTCCAGCCTTCCTTCTTACTATTTCCAGGGATCTTATTCATGCTCCAGGGAAAATCTGGATTACACATGAATAGCTGAAAATCCTAGACAAAACTGCTATCATGAAATCCAGTCTGGGATCTCATGGGTAATGCAGCTCAGACTAAGCAAAACCTAAAGGTAAGAACACTTCCAAGGGAGCAGTTCAGCAGTAACAGACTCTCCCACTACTTCGGGTGATGGCAGAGTGAATGGAAAGGAAGGGATGGAGTAAGTAATTTCAGAGGAAAAATCAGCAAAACTTTGATATATAAGGGAAACTGCCAACCAGGCCCAAATGTCCCATCTATGACTAAAGGAGAGCTAAGAACTAACAGTTCTTTCCCCTGTTCACATATAAAGACTAGTGTTTTCAGAGATTAGTATTATAGCTGAGTCCTTTCTTCCACAGTCTATGGCGATATCTGTTAAAATGGTCTATGAGCAGCAGGAAAAAGAAATCTCAAGTATCCATGTGCCCCAAGTACTTAAATATTTTCAGCCTGACTGTAAGGTCATCAAATTATTCTTTAGTTTTAGATTTTAAAACCTAATGTTCTAAAAAGCCAGACTTGATTGAAAAAAAATCTTTAACACCTACTTAGGGGGTTATCCATAGGCACAACTAAACCATTATACAAGATTATTCTAGGCCACACTTGACACACATTGACCCAAAAAGATCCAGGGTAGGAATCACAGTTTGCCATCAGGGCAGCAGCAGGCATTCCTTTTAATGGAAGCCTCACAGCAGTTCCTGTAGCAGACACAACACAGAACCTTGTGGGAGTTACTCTCTTTGGCCCATGGGGTGTTAGCTCAGGAGTGAGGGAATCGGACTCACCTTGGGCAGATACAGGAGTTATCCTGCCTTAAAAGTCTTATAACCTACAGAAGCCAATACCTCTTGCAACAACTCCATAGGCCTGGCTTCCAGGGTCCTTGCCTGCAAGGGACTTGCCCAATTACAAGAGTTACTACCCTCAGGGGAGATCAAAATTACGATATTTATAGTCCATTATAATTCCTTCTAATCCAGATGCAGTTTACCAACCAGGGGTCGTTTTCTACCATAGGCAGTGTTGCCCAGCAACCAACCACTTAGAGTGGATGCCATGGTATGTTTCCCAGAGCCTCCTTTAGTTAGAGGCACTCATTTCCTGAGCGTGCAAGTGGCACAGTTGGCAGCTGATAGCTTTAACTGAGGTACTCTCTAGGAATTGCCCTCAGCCAAATAAAGCTATCTTGACTAAAGTTACAATCCCACCTCTGAGGCAATTTACATCCAATGTCTGGTTGAGATGACGTGGATCTATGAAGGACCTATCTCTTGCCTCAAGGCAGGACATCTCTGAAAAGCCATCCCAGATCCAGAGATCACCAAGGAGTTAGATGAGGCCTTTGTTGTGACTATATTGAAGTTCAACTCCTTGGACCAAAATCTATTGTTTTGCTCTCCTACAGGTGCTGATCCCAAGAGAATTCCCCAACAAACTTCTTACATGCAACTTCAGAATCTGTTACCTGGGAAGCCTAACTTAAGGCACCACCTTATCAGGCTTCCAGGGACATAGAGCT